CAGGAAATGAGGCACCCCTGGCCTTCTCCAGGCATCCCTGGCTGCTTTTTGGGGCTGTTGTTGAGCCTTAAATTCACTGGGAAAGGGCGTTGTGTGACTGCCAGGCTGGTTTTTTTATTTTCCCTCTCCGCCGTGGTTTCCTGCTGTCCCCGTCCTGGGGGTGCCCCGGCACGGGCGTGTTTGATCTGCCCTGCTCTTTGCTCCATCTCTTGGCAAACTCTCACCCTTCCCTCTGCTGGTTTTCCTCTGGAGCAGCAGAGTGTGGGAGGTTAAAAAGCAGCAGCCCCTGGGAGGGGGGGGGGGGTGTCAAGGGGCAGTTTGGGGCCTTGGTCATGGGTCAGGGATGGTTTTTGGGAGCTGGTTCCAAAGGATCATCCCAGAATATATCCACGAGGATCATTGAATCCAACTCCTGGCTCATGAAGAACAGCCCCCAAATCCCACCCTGTGCCTGAGAGCGTTGTCCAAGTGCTCCTTTGAGCTCTGGCACCGTTGAGGCCGTGACCTGTTTTCTGTGCCCAGCATGGATGTTCTTCCCCCCCCTCTGGGTGAAGAACCTTTTCCTAACACCCAACCTAACCCAGCTCTGTGCCTTTTCACCCACAGAGGTGAGGAAGAGCCTCCCCCCCGCCCCATAATCAGGATCTGCGCTGAAAAGCTCGCTCAGGAAACCCAAAATTCCGACGGTGACTCCACACCGGAGGATGCTCCACCCTTCCCAGTGCTGCTTTCTCCTCAGTCCCCCGTGCTGTGGTGCCCACAGGTCCCTCTCCAGGGCTGGAACTGGCTGTGTTTCAGGCTGGCTCCTGCCTCCTGGGCTGTGTTTGCTCCCCCCGGGGCAGGGCCGGGGGTCTGTGGGCGCCTCGGCGATGCCGCAACGGCGGCTCCCCTGGGTTGTTGCTCTTTTATCGGTGCCAGTGGCCTCTGCTCAGCCTGGGGTGTGCCAGGCTTGCTCATCCTGCTTGGCAAAAGGTCTGGAGACCTGCCCCAGTGTCTGCAAGCTCTTGCATCAAGTTGGTCCACAGAGGATGTGGGTGCACGGATGAGGCTGGTGGGGCGGAATGAGGGCAGAGCCCGAGCCGGGCTGGGGCTGAATTTCCCCCTTTCCCCTCTTCCCATGGCCAGCCAAAACCAGCCCCAATGAAGCTCTGCCAGCCCCCCTGTCAGCGTTGCTGCTGCCTGAAAAGTTGCTTTCATTTACTTGTCGAGGTGGAGTTCGACAAAGGATGCATCGCTCCCGTAAAAATTCCCATCCAAACGAGGTGCCAGCGGGGCCTCCCGTGGCTCACAGACCCGGGGGGACGCTCGTGCAGCGAGGGCTCTGCCTGATTTCCGTGGCTTGAAGTGACAAACGTGGTGCCAGCGAGGTCGGAGGCATTTTTGAAGCGGCGCCCGAGCCGTAATCTGGCAATCTGTTTACTTCATTCCTTCCAGCCGGGGCAACGGCGGCGGCACTGGCAAATATCTTCTTGCCTTTTACCTGCACACGTAAGGGTTTGTTGCCTAATTGCAAAATGTGAGATCTCACGAGGATCTCTCGCTAAGGTGGCAGAGAAGGGCTTTGTGAAGGGCCGGGTGGGTTTTTTTTTATCCGGGTTTGCCCCGTCCGGCCCCTCGTGTCCCTGCCGTGCCCCAGCTCCCTTAGCCCCTCTCCCAGGTGGTTGGACAGGCTTCTCCCATCCAGGTGGGATGCAATTCGTGCCTGCACTCCAGCCCCTGGCTCCTGCCTCGGAGAGGGAGCAGCAGCACATCCACCTGCCTGACGGGTGTTTGCTGGGGGATGAGTCCCTGCACCTTGGGATGGGGGAGGCTGGGTGTATTTGCAGGGTCTGCAGCTCCTGCAGGGTCTTTGACACCTTGGGAGAGTAGTTTGGGTAAAGGAGGGGCCTTAAAGACCACCCAGTCCCACCCCTTTGCCATGGGCAGGGGGCAACTTCCACTGGACCAGGTTGCATCAACCTGGCCTTGAGCACTTCCAGGGTTGGGTCTTCCTCTGAGAAGTCCGTTCCATCACCTCACCATCCTCACAGGGAGGAATTTCCTCCCAATACCTAACAATCTATACAGAAATACCTCATAATCTGCACAGAAATATCTAATCATCCCTCACAAAGGACTCGGGGAGGGTGGTGTCGCCACATTGACGATCCTGGCAACCCCAAACCTGGCTATTTGGGGACCATCCCTCTCTTCCCTTCTGGTTTCCCAGACTCTGGAGGTGACAGCCAAGCTGCTGGAGGGTCTGGGGGGAGTCTCAGAGGGCTCTCAGAGCACACCTTGCTCTGTCTGCTCTCCTGTTTGATCTTCACCGCCGGGGACGTGGCTGCTCCTTCCTAACCTCGTTACTGGGAGCTCTGGTGGCTGTAATCGGGTTCAGCTCGTCCCCAGGCTCGCTCACTCCCACCCCACCCCGCATTTTAGGGAGCCCCCAAGTGCTCCATTCCTCCCGAGGAATGAGATTAGCTCCTGTTCCTCGGAGAGGGATTTTTTTTTTTTCTTTGTTAAGTCTTTCTGACCTTCCTGAAAGTGATAATTGTGATTTGCTCGTCCCACCCACCCCACCACCCCCCAACTCCAGCTGCCTCCTGGCAGCCACACTGGGGCAGACTGGGAGCAGTCTGGGCTCTCTGGGGGAGTGGGAATTGTCACCTTTCCCGTGCCCGTGGTCTGGGGGCATGAGGGGAGGGTTTCACTCCTAATCAAATCCACGGTGGGGGGAAGGAAAGGGTGGCAATCAGCTGACTTGCGTCAGGGAACACCAAAACCTGCCGGTCCCGTGGCACCACCAGCCCTTGCCAGGTCTTGCCCAGCTCCCAAAGAAGCTGCAGGTGTTGCAGGAGAAGGGGGGAAAAAAGTGTTTCTTCCAGCCTAGAAGTGGAGATGGAGGGTGGGGAAATCCCGGGAGCTTCCCCTGCACGGGCTGATGCTGAGCTGCTGTGGGGAGCTCCCTCTTCCCAGAAAGCTGTCGATCCTCCTCTGCCTAAATAGATCTCATGGAAAGCAGCTCAATAACAGGGCTCCGGGGAGCTCCAGAAGGAAATTAGTTAATTGTCTTTTTTTTTTTTTTTTTAACCAGAGGAGGGGGGAAAGGGTTGCTCGCATCTTATGAATGAGCTGGTTTGGACTGGAAAAAAGCCCTTTTTATTTAAAAAAAAAATAAAAATAAAAAAGAAAAAGAGGCTAATTCGTTGCCAGAGGCGCTGAGAGGCTGAGGAGCATCCCGTTGTTTTTGGGCTGTGTGGTGTTAATTGAGCGTGAGCCGGGAGAGCACTTAAACCCTCCCCGGGAGCCGTGGGGAGGGTTGGCTGGCACTGCCCAGGCTTCGGTGGCATTTCAGAGGCTTTATTTACTGGGATCTCACGGGGTTTTGCTGGGATTTCACGGGGTTTTACTGGGATTTCAGCCTCCCCTCCTGCTCCTTCCAGCCCCCGTGGTGGGGGACAAAGGGGCAGCCACGACTCCGCTCCCACCGGCCCCGAAACTGGTTTGGCCTCTCCGGTGCTGCTGGGAAAGAGCCGAGCTGAGCCCTTCGAACACTTCATTATTCTGCTTCACTTCCAAGAAGTGAAGGGCTTAAATGTCAGGTTTAATGACTGAGCAACCTTTTCCCGGGGGTGGAGGGAAACTCCCCTGTCTCTCCTCCCGCGCTCCCCGACGTCACTTCCATCCTGGGGATGAGTAACATTTCCCAAGAAAGCTGGGGATGGTCGAAGCAGCCCCGTCATCCACGTGGGAATTGCGTTTGGCACGGGGCTGGGACTCTCCAGTGAGCATCATCACCAAATCACCTGCTGCTTTTTCGCTCCAGAGCTGGAGGAGGCAAGAGGTGTGAGGGGGACACCTCGGGGAGGAGGGTCTGGCTTTTCCTGGGAGCTTTTTCCAGGCAGCACCGACCACCAGACTCCTCTTGGAATAACCTCTGGCTGTGCTGATCTTCAGGGGAGGGAACTCCAAGCTCCTGGGGGTGGCTTTGGGAGCATCTGCAGGTGCTGGAGGGAATTTTTGGGGCTCTGTGTGGCAGCTCTGCTGTCCCGAGAGGACTCCAGGCTTTGCAGTGAGACTTTAATTGTAGGGTCATCCTCTTTTTTTTTTTTTTTCCCTTCAAATCATTTTTGCTCCAAACCCACTGTCTGATAAAGGATGTTTAACACAGGACAAGTCCAGCACCATCCAAATCCTTTGGAAAGCAGCTGAGATGCACCGAGGCAGCAGCTGCCTCACCCCCCCCTGTAGAAAACATTCAGCCAGGCTTTAAATAATAATAAAAAAAAGGTTGTCTGGGTGCCATCAGCGTGGAGAGATGCTCTGCATGGCCAGGGGAGCAAGGTTCCCATCCAGCAGGTGTTTTCTCTTGGCCCAGCAGAGCACTCTGGGGAGGGGAGGACACACAAAACCCCCCCAGCCCTCTTGGCACCCTGGGAAAAATCAGCTGTTTTAGCAAAGTTTCCCAGAGCTGCTGAAAGAAGAAAACGACGTGGAAAGGGAGGAAAAACCTTCCCCTTGGGGTACCCAGGTGATTCCAGTGGGCACTGGGAGGAGGAGCAGCGTTTGCAGCAGCCAAACCCCCCCCCCACCCCCTCCACCTTGGCAAGCTGGATTGTGAGATTTAAACCGATGGGAAATTGTTTGGGAGGTTAAAGGAGCACCTCTGGAGCACCTCTCGCTGTCCCCTTCCCTTCCCTTCAGGTGCCCCTTTGTTCTCCTCTGGCTCCCCTGGCAACCCCGGCACGCAGAGGGTGACCCGGAGCGCTGGGATATCTCCTGCCAGGATATCTCCTGCCGGGATCTGGGCTGAGGAGGTGCTGTGGGAACCAGACAAGTGGTACCTGAGCTGAGCTGAGCTGAGCTGAACTGGCAGGATTAATCTGGGAGATCAGCCCAGCCCGGGCACTCTCAGACCCACTCCTTGAGCCACCGATCCTCGGGGGAAGTTTTGAGGGGCTGGCTCAGATCGTGTCCTTGTCTGCCTTTTTTTTGTTTTTTTGTTTTTTTTTAAATAGGTGTGGGTGGCTCCATGTCCCATCTCCAGAGCTCCTGGGACGGGCAGCAGCAGAGCATGGCGTATCTTCCAGATCCAGGTACGGGATGCTCTGCTTGGGGTTGGGTCTGGCTTTTCCTGGGAGCAGCGACCGCCAGGACTCCTCTTGGAATGTGCCAGGACCCCTGGCTGTGCTGATCTTCAGGGGAAGGAAATCCTGGGGTGGCTTTGGGAGCATCTGCAGGTGCTGGAGGGAATTTTTGGGCTCTGTGTGACAGCTCTGCTGTCCCGAGAGGACTCGAGGCTTCCCTGGGTCAAGCAAGAGCTTTGCAGTGAGACTTTAATTGTAGAGTCATCCTCTTTTTTTTTAACCCCCCTCAAATAGTTTTTGCTCCAAACCCGCTGTCTGGAGTTAGTAAATGACTGATAAAGGGTGTTTAAAACAGGACAAGTCCAGCACCAGCCAAATCCTTTGGAAAGCAGCTGAGATGCAGCGAGGCAGCATCTGCCTCATCCCCCCCCCTGGAGAAAACATTCAGCCAGGCTTTAAACAATAAAAAAAAAAGGGGTTATCTGGATGCTCCTGAATCAGCTCAGAATTTCTCATCCTGAGGTGCACAGAGGGGACAACTCTGTCCTCTGTGTTGGGGAAACTGAGGCACGGGAGGTGCTGGGAGCTCCCAGGGTGAGCTGAGCTGCACCCACAGCCTGGGTGTGTGACCTTTTGCCAGGATATGGCACCAGGGAAAACTTTACAACCTTCATTTCCCTGCTCCTTGTAGATACTCAGCAGGCAGATTTCCACCGGTGGGTATCACAGGGCGGGGAGAGCCTTTTTAAAGCTCCATTTAATGCCCATTCCAGCGAGCACTGTTTTCCTCCCACCCTCCTTTACAGCCCCGTGGATGTTGGTTTTGTTTTTTTTTTTTTTTATTATTATTACAAAAACAATCTTCACTTTGAGTCATTTTTAGGGTGGTTTTTTTTTTTCTTCATCACTTACGGGAGCCGGTGCCGCTTCCTGTCAGAGCACGAGGGGAATTCTGGGCCGTGTCACCTCCTTGCCCTGGGGTTTTAGGGCCAGTTCTGCTCCCCCCCCACCACCCCACAAAGGCTTTCTGGAGGAAAAGGGGTGAAGGAAACACTCAGGGAGTGGGGGGAGCTGTAGGATTTCTCCCACTGAAGCGCCACGGAGGGCTGTGAGTGCGTTCAGCGGGGCGTGGGGAGGGGGATCAGCCCCGGTTTTAGGGGGGCAGTGGGCACAGCACCGAGCCTGCCAGAGCTCCAGGAGCATCTGGATGATCCTCTGGGGGCACGGGGTGAGGGTTTTGGGGTGTCCTGTGCAGGGCTGAGAGTTGCTCCTTGTGAGCCCCTCCCAGCCCGGCATACCCTGTGAAAGAAACCCCCCCAAAAAAAAAATCCTTTATTTGCCTCTTAACTGACTTTTTTTTTGGCATCCCTGCGATGACACCTTGGCAAAACAAACCCCTGGCTTTGATTCCTTCCCTCCCCTAGACATGGAGCCAGGGGCTGCCAGCACCTCCCTGCCCGACCCCGACTGCGAGCGCAACGTGCCCCGGATCTGCGGCGTCTGCGGCGACAGAGCCACCGGCTTCCACTTCAATGCCATGACCTGCGAGGGCTGCAAGGGCTTCTTCAGGTGAGCAGGAATCAGGAATGAGGGGCTGGAAAGCGATGCCAGGGCCTGGCGAGCCAAGGAGGGCCGGCGGTGCCCCTTTGGGGGGGGGGTGAGGGAGGGGATTGTCCTGCTCTGCACCTGCCACGTTGAGGGGGGGAAAAATGTGAGATTTGAAGGCATTACAGGAGGCCACGAGGGCAGGGAAGGGCCCTGAGGGGCTTGAGGGCGCTTGGTGTGTCCAGCTGGAGAAGAGGAGGCATTTTGCCCCCTGTCCCAGCCGTGCCCCCGGGGCTGACCCGTCCTCATGGGGAGTCCAGGGCGCTTGCATCAAGTGAGAGAATGACTAATTGCTGGTGAAACGAAGGCAGGTGATGATGATGGTGACGATGCTGATGGTGATGATGGCGTGGGATGGGCTGGGAAGAGCCTTGCTCAAGTGTCCTGCACCGACAAGGCACGGTTTACCCCTTCTGAGCTGGGCTCTTTCGGGGCTTCAACTTCATGCAAGCAAAGCCATAACTCCTCCTCTGGCAGGAATTTGGGGTTTTTCACGGACCACAGTTTTCCTGTGACCTGTTTTCAGCCCCGGCCAGCTTTTCCTCACCCCCTTTTCCCCCCAATTCCTGCTGCTAAACTCTTCTTCCAGGTGCTCTCCCCTGCTCTGCTCTGCTCTCCCTGCCCACATTCCCCATCCCTGTGGTGACAACAGGCTGGTTTTGACCCCTGGAGTGGCCAGTGCCCCTTTCCTGAGCGGGACGTGGCCCTTGCACCCCCCTGAGCCCCATCTGTGTTGTGACACCCCTGGAATGGTGCAGGACCCTCACCTGGGACAGCATTTCTGAGCAGACACCGCTGTGTGCCCGGCTCTGCCCTCCAGCCAGCCCTTCCTGCCCCAGTCAAAGCCTTTCTTTTCAATTTAAGGCCGTTTCTAGTTTTTAATCTCGCTTTCCAGGCACGCTCTGCTCAGATCTCGCCGCGTTCCCCTCTTGTTTACACTGCCTTGTTTACACGCCTTTTTTTTGATCCCTGAATGAATTAATTCTCGCTGCTGCCTCGGCTCTGAAGTGCTTTTTGCTGCTGGCAGAGCCTGGGAGCTAAAACTGCCCCAGGGGAGCTTTGCCTGCCTCGGGGTTTATAACCCCCCGTGTCCACTCGCTGGTTTTCAACCTCCAAGCTCGCGGATCTTGGAGAAAATCAACGCCCTGGGACCCGTTTCTGGGCGCTCCCAGGGCTGCAGGAGGGTGAGAGCAGCTGGGAATGTCGTGGGAATATCAGCCCCAGGGGCTGTCTCCCAGCGTTTGGGGGGGTGAACTCTGCCTGTGAGGTTCCTCCCTCCCTCCCTGCTGTGCCTGGAGCCTCGTGCGGGTGGGGATGGCACCAGAACCTGCTGCAGGACCCCCCTGGTGGCTCTCACCTGCCTCGGGGACGGAGCTGGGACACCTTTTCCCCCCCTGTTCCACATCCCCCAGGAGGTCCTGGCTTTAATGACCCCGTTAATTAGGGATTTATTGGCACCCCCGGGCGTGCACGTAGCCCTGCAGCACCAACAGGCTCTCGTCTCTCCTGGCTTCAAAGTCCAGCTCGCTGCTGATGCCAAGGGCAACAGGGGCCTTTTATTGGGCCCTGCTGTTTGCTCAGGAGCTCTGAAGCAGCACCTGAGCCAGAGGGATTTTATTCCACGGCCCCTTTGGTTCCTCCTGTGGGTTCCCCCCTCGGGGGGCAGCGACACTTTAACCCCCGAGCTGGGCGTCCTGAGAGTGCCAGGGCCAAGGGGTGACATTTATCTCCACACCAGGGGAGCTCTGTCCCCCATCTCCCACCCACCCCCACCCCCAGGAGCAGCCCCCACCACCTCAGAGCTGCCTGCCAAACCCACTCGGCACTGGCTCCCACCCCCGTGGAGCAGGGGAGGGAGAGAGCCTCGTTATTTTTAGCAGCCTTGGGATTCTCAAACCAGCCTCGAAATGGCTGGTTGGGGAGTTTTTGGAATTATAAAAAAAAAACACTTTCCCCCGCGCTCCGTGGGGAGCCAGACGGTGTGAGCTCCAGCTGCGGGTCCAGCAGCCCCTCCCCTGCCCTGCTGGTGGCACTGGGAGCCACTGGGAGCCGCTGGGAGCCGACTTGGAGGGGCAGGCAAAGCAGCTCCCGTGCCCTGGCCTCGCAGGGAACTGCAATTTTCATTCCAAACCCGTAATGTTGGCTTGCCCTTGGCCACGGGGACATCTTTTCCCCGCCCGAGGGCCTCGTGTTTCTCCAGACTTTGTTTGTGCATTCCCCAGCCTTGCCCTGGGCTGTGGGGGGGGAAAAGATGAGCTGCCCCGCTGGCCCCAGAGTTGTTCCCTCGAAGGGGGGGGCGATTTTTGGGGGCGTTCAGCTCCAAATCCCCACTTGCCCTCAAGCTTTGTCCCCG